ATCTTCCATTACAAGAAAGAGTAAATCTACATTTTCAGTTGGATGGTTGTCCAATACTCAATGCGAGACATATGTCAGGGAGTGGCTTAACGAGAATTTCCCCAACCATTGGATAGGTCGAAACAGTCCATTAATTCATTAACCACCCCGATTTCCGGACCTTACCCTTCTTGATTTTTTTTCTGTGGGGCTTTATTAAGTCCAAAGTTTATAAGACACGGTCAAATAACCGGGAGGTATTGTATACTAGAATAAGGGAAGCGTGTGAGGAGATTAACGCGCATCAATTACGAAATGTTATAAAAATATATAAAAAAAAACGTTATGAAAAATGTATAGAATTAAACGGAGGATTAGTGGAAGCTACAAAAATTTAAATTTAATAACGTGATTAGTGTAAATCAATTTGATAGACTCCTATCATTTTTAAAAATGTAATTTTGGAATCATTTTTTTATCAATTGTTGTTTATATTAGAGTAATTGTTGTTTATTTTATGTATACTGGTTTTTATGGTTCTTATTAATAATTATTAAACCACTGTTTGCTATTTAATTTTGTTTCCCATTGGGTTCTATTCGGTTTTTATAAAAGAATAGGTTCACCGACAACGGCAAACACTGTTGATGCCTATATTGTCATAACTTTTTTAGGAGCAAACTTTTTTTCGCAAAAATTGGTACAAATGCATTTGAGGGGTTCCTAAATCCAGTGGTGTAGTCAGATTTTTTTATAAAAAATCGCTAACAAAATTTTGCTATTTTTCACTTAAAAAAAAATCATAGCCCTTGAAAATCAAAATTTCGTCTTCAAATTTTGCATCAAGATAGAGCTTTTGGAGATCTATCTTTAAAAAAAAAACCGGTTCAAATCGGTCCATAAACAACTTTTGTACGCGAGTGTTTCCATTCTTANTATATATATATATATATATATATTGAGATGAAATAAAATTATTGATAGCAATTTATAAGTTTAAACTAAAATTTTACTTGAATAAGACACGGTGAAGAGAAAAGGTTGAAATTATTAACTAAAATTGTTAGTATTAAATAGGTTATTGTTAATTATTATCGGAGAGTCGTATTACTAGAGCAGAATAAATTTGAAAGATTTAAGTATAAAAAACATTATCATTTTAGTCAAATAGCGTACATGCCATGCCAAGGTATTATTGGAAAAACCTAATCAAAATTAATTAGTAACAGCAAGTGACAGAGCAAACGAAAACTAAAATATCATAGTTTTATTTAATAGTAGTATTATGAGTAAGAAAAATAAATATCAAGAAATATTAATGTCTAAAGTAAAATTTTATATATCAATAGGATTATAATGCCAGTGTAATGTCAAAAATAAAGTTGGATTCACAAGTCATAAAATATTACATATGAAATTCAAATATAAATATAGAATTAAGGAATATATTTTGAAATATAAGTTAAAATTTTTGTAAATAAACTGGAATGTGATTGTAAAATTGTATATTATAAAGTGAAATGAAGTGAAGTGGAAAAAGAAAACGGAATTTAAAAGAACAGGCATATATGTGAAAAGACCCTAACAAGGAAGAAAAAATCAAGAGAGTAGAAAAAATAAAAATTTTAAAAAATTATTGACTAGTTACAAAAGAATTTGTCAGAGAGAGGTGTTTTGAAAAGAAGTAAAGTGGGAAAAGCCATATATACTTAGAAATAATTATAGTGGAAGATAATTAAAATTAGGCTATCCAGTAATCTCAAGAAAACAAGTATTCCAGACGCATAAAAGTAGGCAGCAGGTCCGGCTATCCATTAACTGCAGGAAGACGAGGATTCCAGGACGAGATTTCAGAAGTATAAAGTAAGCAGCAGGTTCCGGCTATCCATTAACTGCAGGAAGACGAGGATTCCAGGACGATATCCAGGCCTAGTATAAGAGGGCAAGCAGTTCGACAATAAAATTCGACAAGAAATACGTAGAGGTAACTTTGTACACAAAGAATTACAAAATCTTATAAGATAAAGCTAGCTAAAAAAAGAGATTGATAAATACAATCTAAAAATTAATATAAAGCCTATAGGAATAATAATAATAAAATTTAAAGTAATCTTTCCTGAAAATAAATTTAAAATAAAAAAAAATCAAATTCATCATCCCTGATAAATATTAAATAAATTTAACTTCACTATACGAACAATTATAATAAATTTGGCCATATTAAAATTTTGATAGATATTAAGTATAAAGGTAATCTTAGTAACCCATTGAGAAAGAAAGTTTAATATCATTTTTATCGCCCTAAATATAGGCAACCAATAGTACACAATAACAATGAAATATATGAAAAATTCTCAAGGTGTCACAAAAGTGCTATAAGATAATTTCAAATATTCCTAAAATTGTGCCTGACATTTTAGTTATAATTGATTTTTATATAAAAAAATCAGCTTATAAATAAATAATTTCTGAATAATATCTTTTGTTTAGTGTGGTGTATTGTTTGGTTTTCTGCAACGTTTTAACCTCACTAGAACTCACTAATGAGAAGGGTCGAAAGCTAGCCAGGGGGTATAATTGACAACTTAAATTACAACACACACATATTCACAACAGGATCATAATTATATTAATTATACAAACAAATCACATACATATTTCTACCCATAACGAGGAAAAGGATATGTTTTGCTTTGTTCTTTCAAAATGTTATTAAAACAACGTCAATAATTTGAATGAAATACAAAAAAATACATAATTCAGCATTAAAAGAGCTGGAAATTAAATGCATGCACCTCTGGCCTTTTTGCTTTTTTTTTGTTAGTGCAGTTATGTAACGTAATAAATGTGATATCTTTATACTTTTTCGATTTTACTTTTGTTATATATTATTTAAATTAACTTGAACAAAATTATAGCAAACAGTGAAAATGACCGTCATCAATTTTATTTGAGGCATCCAGTCTTCGATACAAAAATCTCCCTACTCTGTGCTGTCAATTTTTATTACAAAGTTATTTCAGTGCCATACCGTGTGTGCTCCTTTGATCTTATCCATATTTTTTAAAATGTTAAGTAAGTTGCATAATCCAAATTTCAATCAAATTAAGTCCTATTCATTTTGAAGATAATTTTAAAAAGTTGAAACAATAAAAAATCATTAAATGTATCTCAGACACGAAGTGTTGCGAAAGAATTTTTCTCCTCTCCAGCGATGGTACAGAGCCTTCGTAAATGATTACAAGCCACGTGACCAGTTGTTTGGAACAATAATTTTTTTTCCTCCATTAAATTTCGGTGAAATTAAAAATAAACAGTAAGATTAAGGTTACATTAAAATAAACATTCTGTTTAATCTGAGGTGTTTGGTGTAATTTTTCATAAGATACTATATCGCATTATCTCAGGCGTAGATGTAACGGTTTGTAATTGTTCATTGTAAACAAGTCTTTAATACTGGTGACGCCAAGATTTAGGAAATTTTCATTACCAGTACCAATCGTGCAATATTGGGTTGCCTAAGTTCGGCGGTCACGTGGCTTGTAAACATTTATAAAGGCTCTGTATGTGTATTTTGAAACACCCAGCATAATACAAGATTTAAATACAGTTTGCAGCATCTTAGATCGTGGCACAGATGAAACGTATTATTATAGGAAGATGCATTATATCGTACTAGTAACTACAGATTGTACACTAACGACACTACTAATGTATAATGTAGCCAATTGCGCAGGAAATAAAATACCTTATACTTCCACTGAAATTTCCTAGTACCTCCTCCCCGAATTATCTATATTTTTTCACAATTTACTTGGATTCCCTTTGCATTACCCTTATTTCCTCAGAAACTTTTGTATTACTCTAGATTACTTCCAATTGTCCCACATTTTCTTATGAGTGTATATAAAATTTCCTCAGCGGTTTACGTTTCGGTTTTCAATATTTGGAAAAGGTCAAAAGTCAGATGTCGATGTAACCGATTAAATATCGCTTATCAATTCCTAATACCTAGTTTTCGATTAAGGTAACTGATACAATGGATTTAAACTGTTCACAAATCCTTTGAAAATCCTATCTTCAGTTTTTCTTTTTAAAAATATATTTACTGATACGTACGTCTTGGGAAATGTTGGCCGATACTAATGATTGCAAATCAAAATCCATTGCTTCAGAATATTCTAATTATGCATTTATGCTATTATTTTACCTAGAAATAAATACCGATATTATCCGGTTGCTAGAGTGTTCTAATTTTATAAATGTATATATTCGTTTCATATGTTTCCTCAAATTATTTATTATTTGATGTTGCCTTGTTGATTCATTTCTGCATAAATCGCAGATAGTTTCTCCATAACGATGTGTTTTTTTTAATATTTTCAAATAATAAATGATTTTATTTTGGCCTTTACTTCTGATATATTTTTAGTAATTTAGTTATACACTAGAAAATTAAAATTTTCTTCTGCAAGCAACTCACACTTAACAAACATGAGTAAAAAGAAAAAAATTCCTATACTTTGAGTGGAACCCACAAGCCACCACCGCGTATAATATAGTCTTTAACTATATAAGTATACTAGTATTTTTAATTTTACCAGTTTCATTTTACTGTCCGTGTTAATGATAACAATTTTGTTGATAAAATAAATTTAAGTTATTACTGTTTGTAAAGTTGGTGAGGTACTATTTTACTCATCACTACTTTCTAATACAGTTTTAACTGACAGATAAATTTTTAGAGGATAAAGGAATTGGTAATTATTTGTCAGGTGTTAATAACTTTAAATAAACAATCGGCATGTTCCTTTCATTGTGCATAATGCTCATGGGTTTGAAAATATGAGTATTTATTGGTTGTTCACAAAACTAACATTCATTTTTGATATCATGAACAGCGGTCGGGTTTTTAATCCATAATGAAAGGAACATGAGGAATTAATTAATTAATTTAATTATTAATTAAGAATTTATTTACACATATTCTTTTAGATAATTATACCATGTTTTTTTTTTCCAGAAGCATTCGCAGTTAGGTAAGTGTAAAAAATTTATACTTGTAGTGTGGCCTTTATCAGTCATGTATATACAAGGTGTATCTAAATAACACCGAAAAAATTCAAGGGACGATTCTCCGATGAAAATTAATAGGGGTCTTTGGTATAAAATTTGTTGAAAAACCCTTCCCTGAACAGTTACGCCCCTCCTAAAATTACAAAAAAAATTGTTTTTCTTTTTTATCTTCCACGTACATCAAGCTAAAGAAACCAAACTTGGTGAACATTATCTGTCAATAAAACTACACTTTTTGAAATTTTTTCAACCCTGAACTATTTTTGTAAGGGGTTGAAATAATCAACCCCTATGACATTTTTTCTTATAATTTTTTTTTCGATAAAATTTTTTCCTTTTAAAAAATATGTCTAAAAAACCCCATTCATTTACTAACTTTTTGATCTCTTCAAGTTTCTTCGAAAAGTTAAGGATTTATGACAAAAAAAAAAAAATGTATTGTAATGTATTTTTAAAAAGATGAGCTGTTTAACGCGAGTGTATTTTGCCGAAAGATCTAGTGGCCTGTTCTTTACAATGGAATCCGTAGAAACAAATGTCAATGTCATTTATTGTTACTGTTTCTTACTATTTCACAAGTTTCATGATTTTGTGTAGAAAATATTAGTTAATAAACCGAAAATATGGTTAACTATTCGAATTTAGAAATGGCAGATATGCATTTTACATATGGGTATGCTAACGGTAATGCATTGGAAGCGCAAAGACTTTATGCTGAACAGTACCCAGAGCGTAGATTACCCCACCATACTACGTTCACAAATATTCACCAACGCTTGCGGGAACTTGGAAAATTTGAAAAGAGAAGTCATGACTGTGGCCGTAGCCGAGAAGTTAGAACTGAAGCTGTCGATGAAGCCGTACTTAATTTAATTGAGGAATCCCCAGAAACTAGTACCAGGAAAATAGCTCGTGTCCTAAATGTAAGCCATTCGGTAGTTTTTAGAATTTTAAAAGAACAACAGTTATATCCCTATCATCTCCAACGGGTGCAGTCGTTACTGATTCGAGATTTTTTACCACGTGTGGTTTTTTGTCAATGGCTTATTAATATGATCGGCCAAGCGCCGCAGTTCTTAAGAAATATTTTATTTACTGACGAGGCGAATTTCTCAAGAGACTGTATTAGAAATTTTCGTAACAATCATATTTGGGCTGAGGAAAATCCTCATGACTTTTTTGAAGGAAATCATCAGTATCAATTTTCATTAAATGTGTGGCTCGGAATTATCGACGATCATTTAATTGGTCCCTATTTTCTTCCACGACGATTAGATGGTGACTCATATTGTCATCTTCTCGAAGAATTACCTATTATTCTTGAAGAAGTTCCCATTCAAATTAGGCAACGTTTATGGTTTATGCACGACGGTGCACCAGCCCACTTTAGTATACGTGCAAGACGTCACTTGGATGAGGTGTATGCCAATCGATGGATAGGTCGAGGAGGATATGTAAATTGGCCAGCCCGCTCCCCTGACCTTAATCCTTTGGATTTTTGCATATGGGGATATCTGAAATCTTTGATCTACTCAAGGCCAGTTGAAGATATCAATGATTTGCGAAACCGCATTGTAGCAGGGTGTGAAACGATAAAAAATTCACCAGGAATATTTGAACGCATACGCAATTCTATGAGAACAAGAGTAGATGCTTGTATTGAAGCTGAAGGCAATCATTTTCAACATTTTTTGTAGATTGTATTGTCAATATCCGACAGATTTTTATTTTTTGTTACTGTTATAACATTATTCATCATTTGTTCACTTTTAGTCTAAGTTCCAAACTTCTTAGCCTAGTAGAATCATAGGTCAACTATTTGGTTGAGTGTTTTTTAATAAAATGTTATTTAATATGACAATAAATGACATTGACATTTGTTTCTACGGATTCCATTGTAAAGAACAGGCCACTAGATCTTTCGGCAAAATACACTCGCGTTAAACAGCTCATCTTTTTAAAAATACATTACAATACATTTATTTTTTTTTGTCATAAATCCTTAACTTTTCGAAGAAACTTGAAGAGATCAAAAAGTTAGTAAATGAATGGGGTTTTTTAGACATATTTTTTAAAAGGAAAAAATTTTATCGAAAAAAAAATTATAAGAAAAAATGTCATAGGGGTTGATTATTTCAACCCCTTACAAAAATAGTTCAGGGTTGAAAAAAATTCAAAAAGTGTAGTTTTATTGACAGATAATGTTCACCAAGTTTGGTTTCTTTAGCTTGATGTACGTGGAAGATAAAAAAGAAAAACAATTTTTTTTTGTAATTTTAGGAGGGGCGTAACTTTTCAGGGAAGGGTTTTTTCAAAAAATTTTATACCAAAGACCCCTATTAATTTTCATCGGAGAATCGCACCTAGAATTTTTTCGGTGTTATTTAGATACACCCTGTATATATTCCTATATCGTCGAATTACATTTTAGTTACGCTTTTTGAAGTTCTAAGATAAATGAATATTAATGTTATAGGTGCTCATTTGAAACAAAAATCCTTGGATCCTGATCGACGAAGACAATCAATAGGACCAATACCTAATGCTCACAGGGCCTCTGATGCTTTTTTAGATCCCAATCATGCAGCAATACTATTTAGAGACTCTAGAGGCGTAAGTATATTACTGCATATACTTTACTCTCATGCCTTCGATTTTAAATACATTCTTTGTCAAAATTATTTCTGCTTACACCTGCTTTGTTTTATTGAACGTCGACTGTCTTACAGAACACTTTCATTAAATTCAATGTATTAGATTCTGACTTCGATCGTCTGCCATCTTTGCCAGCGTTCATTTGCCTTAAAATGTTTTGTTCTCATGCGGCTAATATTGGTGACCGCAAATCGACGATCGTCGCTAGTGACTGCGTTCAGTACAGGTTAATGATTTCTTTATGTAAAATGCCTTTAGCTTAAAATAATATAAATGTATTTTTTTGGCGAAGCAGACTGGTTTTAGAGATCACTAGTCGTCTGCTCCAAGAGTATCATAATCGCGATTGCCAATATGTCAAAACTTGTGCAGGTTATTACTGGAGCAATTTAGTTGCTTTCTTAGTAGAAACTGTCAAAAAAAATTTTTTTTTCATCTCTCAACTTATCAACAAATTGTAGCAACCTTGTTCTTTCCTCTATTTAAAAATGTAAGGCATTCTCTTTCTCTAACAAAATATAAGCTACTACTTCTATAGCAAAATTTAAACTGAATTTTAAACTTATAAAGAGAAAAACATTAGGTACCTACTTGTAACCAAATTAAACAATGATCGCTAAATCATTTTCAACACTGTTGGCCGTCCCGACGACAACACTTTAATAACCAAATCGTTATCTGTTTTTTTTTAGTTCTTTTAAACAGAATAAATGATAATGTCGTGGTACAAAAAGAAAAATAAATATTTTAAAATTTAGATATTGAGAAACTCGATGAAAGTTCCCCTTAAATAATTAGTAGAATTCGAAGCTCCAAAAATATAAAAAAAAAAATAATGAAATTTCATGTGTCGTTAAAAGTATATTATGGAAAAGGACATCCTTAAGTTTATACCGAAGTAGCTGTCGATGAAAGTTCCCCTTAAATAATTAGTATAATCCGAAGCTCTAAAGATATAAACAAAAAATAATTAAATTTCATGTGCACACCAGATGTGTTTTGAGACTTTGGTTAAAAGTATATTATGGAAAAAGAATTCAAACTGAAATTGAATTTGTATAAGTTTTTGCGATATGTTCTTAATAAAAATATTGCCGACTTCCTTAAGTTTACACCGGAGTAGCTGTCAATTTCTAAAGATCAGCCTTTTTCCGCCCATCATGGTCATGAAAATTCAGAGTTTTGATTAAAACTATTTTTCTTTATAAAGTTCAGGTATTGACTTATACATTTACCTTAAATTAATAAGAAAAAAAAAAGCAAGTCACATAAAAAGGCCATCAAATCTGGCATATTTGTTGAATTTTTGCCATTTTAGACGCTTTCTCTCTTTCATTTTAAAAAAAATATGTTAGGCGCTTTATGCACCACAATATTCTATCGCCTCTCAAATATTAGAATTAATAAGATTATAAAGTAGTATTCATTTGTTTTTGTGAATTGGACGTATCTATATGATACGAAACAATATAGCTTGTTCGCGAGTCAGTCAGACTAATGCAGCGGCTACACGTCAGCGACTTGCCTGCACGGTATGGTTTGCGCAATAAACACGGAACACTGTGTTGTGGCCACACAATGCAGGTAAGACTGTGCAGACTGCAGGCATTGCAGGCAGCAATCAGTACGTTTCTCAGGAATATGTATCCAAGCGGAGAATTTTTGGTATTAGCCTCTTTCTATTTTACATTAGTAAAAAAAAAAGAAATAGACGTCATCGTTCAAAATGGCCAAAAAATGACTTCTGAACAGAAATATACATTCACATATAAATTTAATGAAGGATTTGAGAGAAGATCCCGACTATTGGCATAATTATATGACAAACGGCGTATCCTGAATTACTAGGATTGGTGACTCCCTTCATAAAACGACAAAATACTATAATGCGCGAATCTATGTACATATATCAGATATCTCCTCATGAAAGATTGAGTTGTACTCTCAGATATTTGGCTACATGGAGATCATAAAGAGATTTAAGGTTTTCTGCCGCAATTTCTCTTAACTCAACACCGTGCGCCGTCCACACGCTCAAATTTTACCGTGCAAATCGAATTTGCACAAACCAAGTTTACGGAAGCCGCGCTTTTCAGTTTGTGCGAGATAACGTTTTGCCGGCCACACGTACGGGCTTCCCGATACAAACTAGTTTGTGCAGGCAAGCGCGCGGTAAAGCCTGTATGTGTGGAGGGCCCATAATACGTCACGTGCGTATTCGGACGTGTCTCCACCTCACATGAGTCATTTAATTGTATTTCAAATATTTCTTTTTGATTGTGGCCATTCCATTACGTATTATTTTATGTGTTTCCTGTATGTTATCGAAAAATAATGCAACAATGTTGAGGACGACAGTATAGCTGGCCAACGGATGCTTGATTTAGAAGAAACTGAGCTACTTAACAGCCAACAGTTGAAGAAAATGACTGGACAAGAAAGAGGACGGTATGGAATTGACTTTTTTAAGTGACTTTGATCTTCCAGATTTCCCACGCTTAGCATGGGACCTTATACTCACGAATATCTTAGCCAAACTGGAATGTACTCTCTTTACGTATATCGAGAAGATATCTCAGTTGTCTGACTCCAATTGAGATCACAACACACAAGTACAAAAGTATATAACATATGGATAAGAACAGGTATAAGTCATAATCCAAACATTAAATGGTTTTGTCAGTGCAAAGTTGGTGCCAGAGTTGTCGGCTGCTATGCGCATCTATACTGTGGTACTTGGGGTACTGGCGCCATAATCGAACTCACAAGTAACACTACCCTACCGCCACGCACTGATCGGAATGAAATTTGGCACATCGATAGAACTCTAAAAAATATTGAACCAGTATTTTTTATTTTCAACACCCAACTAAACCATCTAAACTTTTCCATCCTAATTCCACCCCACCCACCTAAACCAACCAAATTCTCTTGCCCTCACCAATAGCAACCCTCCACATAAACCAAACCCCCACCTTCATGTACTGCGTGCTTGATTATCGTGAGTCCCCTTGCCTCTCTCGTTTGGGTGCTTGATTAGCGTGGGTTCCCTTGTTTCTCACTGATCGGGAAAAAACACGATATCATTATATCAACTGATAGCCCCTATCTTACATATTCATTACATTAATGTGGTGAATTTACTGCATGGAAAGGTTTAATTGGGTTAGTTGGGCGTTTCATGTTGGGGTAAAGGGGTTGATTGGTTTAGGAGGGGGTAGGCTTGGAGTGGGAGGGTTAGTTGGCTTGGGTAGATAGGGTGAGTGAGTTTGGTTGATAAACATGTATTTTTTACGGAGATTTTCGCGCTTACCGTTTTCTAGGGGTGATTCCTACCCCTTGAAAGTGAATTCCGAGAAAATAAAAAAATACGGGTTCAATATTTTTTAGACGTCTATCGATGTGCTAAGTTTCATTCCGATCGGTGAGTGATAGTTGGATATTGTTACTTGTCAGACGGAAACACCAAGTCTTGGATATGCTGCTATGATACACTTCAAGACGCTGCTACTGGATGGTCAGGATTTAGCAAGTGAAAACGACAAGCAAATATAATCAAAAACATTTGTTACAAATAGTTTAGTATACTTATTTTGTTTTACTTTCTCTACTTAATTAAAAGATTTTTCAATAAAACTTAACATTTTTATTTTGAGAAGGCATAAATATTGAGAAAAAAATAATGTGTTATGAATTGATCGATGGACGACAAAAGGCTGGTCTTTACCCACCTCCTTCGAAACAAACACAAAATTTGGCAAAGAAATATATAGCATAGTCTTAGTTAAATTTGGCCATTTCAGCCTAACGTTCTATTAAAATTTTGAAGCATAAAAGGGTCTGCATAACATTTCTCGTATATTAAATGAGTGAATAATTTTTGACAAGACATCATGCTATTATTTTCTTCGAACACCTCGACAAAATAAGAAAGAAATATAATAGTCGTGGCCTTACACTCGGACTAATTACTGATTTCTATGTATTTCGGCGTGCTGAACTCCAATCCGAAATCGGAATTACTCCAGCACCCACCAATTTTCAGAAAACCACCCCTAATGTGTGCAAATTCCTATACAGGGTGTTTCAGGATTAAGTCGACAAACTTTAAGAAGATATTCCGCATAAAAATAAGAAAAAAATCAAGTATAATTTTTTTCCACAGATGCTTCATTTTCGAAATATAGGGCGTTAAAATTCGAATTTTTTAAATAACTTCTAAATGAAGAAAGCTATTTAAGCCAAATTTGGCATGACACATCTTCTTATAAGATACCATTTTCCCATAGAAGTAGTTAATTTTTTTATAATTTAATGAGTCTGAGTCCCCATAACTCTGCCACTGTTTGCTTGCGGGACTTCTACTTCTATGGGAAAATGATATCTTATAAAAAGATGTGTCATGCCAAATTTGGCTTAAACAGCCTTCTTCATTTAGGTTATTTAAAAAATTCGAAATTTTTGAAAAATCTTTAACGCCTTATATTTTGAAAATGAAGCGTCTCTGGAAAAAATATTTTTGTATGAGGAATATCCTTAAAGTTTGTCGACTTAATTCTGAAACATCCTTTATATGTGATGCTAATGGGGTGTAATCGCGAAAACGAATAGACGCGATTCTATATCCTATATAAACGTATTTTGAGACGCTGAATTCAATTCGCTAGTCAGAATTATTCCATCTTAAAACCACCTCTAAATTGTGAGAACCGCCAGGGGTTCAGCGGTTGGCAACACTGGAGAGTATAAGGCGAAACATTGGTGCATCTAAAGACATAGCAGAAAACATCGCTGAAGAACTAAAGAATCGAGGTTTAGTGGTGAATGGTACAATGGTATTATTGAGAGAAAAAAATATACAAAGTACTTCAATGTTAGCGAAAATAATTCATTTGTATATTCTACATATATAAATCTCTATCCACAGTGGATATTCATTGTCCAGTATCGTTACGCTTACAGCGTTCCTTTTTATCTCCGAAGTTTCTGTGTAGTGGATTCCGAGCGCATTTTCTTCTTGTGTCTTTAATTTCTCGTTTTAATGTCCAGCAGTAGTCCGCCATCATGTTAACATCTACCCTTGTACCTTCTTTCCTTCCTTCCTTGAGATCCTTATGAAAATGCTCACCTTGTTCCTCGTTATAATCACCTAAGTTTTCAGTAAAATACTCCAAGTGAGAATCTATGTAACTTTAAATTCATCAAATAATCCAAAGATCGGAAAATTTTCACCATGCTTTTCGCTACAATATTCTATAATCCGAGCTTGTATGGTTTCCTAGGTGTTTAGCAACATCGCAAACGCTGAGAAACTGAGAAATTGCGAAACGCTGCCTCCTCTAGCTCAGTTATTGTCGCTGTAAAGTTTTCATCATGACCGTCGCTTATTTGAGGAAACTGCTCAGCTAATGAAAACATGTACCCTCTTTATCCAGAGCCTTAACAAACTGTTTCATCAAACCAAGTTTTATGTAGAGAGGAGGAGGCAAGATTTTTAAATATTCCACCAAGGATATTTGGCAATATTTTTCCCTCCTGGGTCGAGCGTCTAGTTGGCCACTATTTCTGGTGGTAATGATTAGCACGATCCCTACAATCCCATAAACATATAAAACATGGATATTTTAAAAAACCAAACTGCTGCATTAATATCATGGACATAATTTTTAAATCGCCGAAAATCTGCTATAGAGGTTCAGTATATTTTATTTGGTTTAAAACAAACTTCATATGGTCATAATCTTCTTTCGGTTTGGTAGAATGGGCTATTGGAACACGGGCATATTTATTCCCGTTGTGAAGTAGTAGGTACCGCACCAATATTCCGCCCTATACTCTCCAGAGGTCCAGTTGCCAACCTGTGAATCTGGTGGTTCTCACAATTTAGGGGTGGTTTTAAGAATGTGGAGGTTGATGTAATAATTCTGAAAACGGAATTGAATTCAGCTCCTCAAAATACTTAAGGATATAATTTCCTAATTACCTCTAATCGTTCTCCACGATTACACCCCATCGTCGCCTCTAGACAAAGTTTGTCCGTATCGGTATTGTATAGGAATTTGCACACTTTAGGAGTAATATTCTCACAAATTGCTGGGTGATCGGGCAATTCTCACTTCAGTAGGTTTGGTCCGAGTGCAAGGCCACTTTTTTGGGTAACAATGGTTCGTTTCAATGGATTGAACCTATTATAGTTATTTCTGGAGAAAAAATAAGTGTATATCTAACGAATAGAACTTACAGAAAGTATATATTTTGTTTTCTTTCCAAGTAATCAGCGTGGTGAGTTTTAGCTGAATCACCATCTGTCACCATATCTGTATATGTATAAAAATAAATGGATATAATTCCTTTTCTAAAATTAACTGTATTGAACTGTTTGAAAGTTATTGCAAAAATCATAGCCATCTATGATTTCGTTTATAAAAGTTTATATTTTATTTCATTATTGTTATTTTTAAATCATAACTTTTTCCAATTCTATATTTAAGTTGTCGCTTTTGAGATATGACTCAAATAAAAAATACAACTCAAATATAAAAATTTTTATATAAAAAATAATCATGTACAAATTTTTCCTTTACACTCTGTAAATCTAATGTTCTTTTATATAAATATCCTGAAGGCATGAGTTATCGGGATTCTAAACAATCACTTTTATTATTTAGTCATGACCGTTTTTAAAAGTTCATCAAATTTGTTTCATAAACTGCACGTCTTTCTCTATTTAATAGTCACTTCATTAGTTTAGGAGATGCCATCGAAAAAATATGCAACACGTTATGGTAATATTTTTGTTACAGTTACCTGTAGTGGACCCTTTTTTAGAAAAAATCAACATTTCTGATTTAGGTAAGTCGATGAGAATAAATGTTTGCATGATATTATTCAGCTTTTAGTTTTGGTTTATTATTATAGGATATAGCATATTTAAGAATAGGTAATACTTACGTACATAAGTAATATCGAAGTGTTTGACAATTTCCATTTATTTTCCTTTAGTGTTCTTTTTATGCAGGATATCCAGAAAATGGTCAGCAATTTTTCAGATTTGACGTCACAAGTAGTTTTTTTGGGAGGTTTTTCTCATTAAATTGAGTTGTTTCAGGTAAATAAATAAATGAAACATAAATAGTAAATTTCTATTTATGTTTCAATTTACCGATAGCTGCTTTCAGGGCATTGAACAGAGCACCCTCGGCAATCTTGGCTTTAAATGAATCTGGAAATTTTTAGTTGCATTTGCAATATTACCGAAAATCTGACATTCGTGGAAAGGATTTTCATTTAGATTTTATAAAAAATAGAAATATTAGTTCGGCTTGTGGACTTCTGCGAACATTAACGCACACCGTACATCGTACATGTATGTTCCAAAGAAGCTTTGTGGTTACGACAGCCTTGCGTGACGTTCCCAAAATTGTTAAATCCCTTCTTATTCCACACGCCTGATTTTACACCCACAATTAAACACGGCACACAGTGGGAAATATTGGACAACATTCTCGCCACTCACCAATTTTCATCGTCTCGTCGTGATTTTTTTTTAATAATCTCGTAGTAATCTGAATTTTCTTATTCCGGTGAGGTTTTTTCGAAAAACCCTTTTTTTTAATGCTTAGGGAGCGCCCCAACCTCAATGTCGAAGAAAAATTTTTTAAATACTCGATGTTCAGTTGTAGAAAAAAATGTTTAAAAAGTATCTGCTATTAATAAAATTGATTATTATGACCCTTGATGATATATCTGATGTTTTTTCTTCAAAAACCTAACCTCAAAATATATAATCAAGGGTCATAATCAATTTTATTAATAGCAGATACTTTTTTTAAAATTTTTTCTACAACTGAACATAGAGTATTTAAAAATTTTTTCTTTGACATTGAGGTTGAGCCGCTCCCTAAGCATAAAAAAAAGGTTTTTCGAAAAAACCTCACCGGAATATGAAAATTCAGATTACCACGAGATTATTAAAAAAAAAATCACGACGAGACGATGAAAATTGGCGAGTGGCGAGAATTTTGTCCAATATTTCCCACTGTGCGGCATACAGAAAAGTTTTTTTAATTAACACTTCTACACAACCACTTATACTCCGAATACCATTCATTCCGAAACTTTCGAAAGTACACGTTGTCTTTTGACTTCCACTTTTTTCCATATCGAGAGAACGAGAGAATAAGGCACAGGTCTCTCGCAATTTGAAAAATCCTTTTTGTCCTCCATTTTCCATATGGAAAATGGCATTTCCAATAAAATGCATATTGTATCATACATAGGTAACATTTCTACAATTATTATACAAAACAAATAATAACAGAACCGTTATAATCGTGCACTGGGCGACGCGTATCGTATTAAACTGTTAAAAGCAGGCGATGAGCGATGCTGCTTTAATTTCTGCGTCACTCGTTCCCCCACCCCGTAGTTGACCGCCTCGTTGTCATGACAACCGCCGTAAACAACACTATGAAGAAAAAAGAGAAGCAGAATACAGACTGATTTCAATCTGCGTCACGCTATATGTTGTATCGTATGTACGTATCGTATGTACGAGGTTGATGTTCGCTCTCAACGAAAGCAATTTTTTTTAGAAGGCGTTCACCGCGCAACTATTCTGTTTATTTCTGCGTATTAAACAAGTAAACAAAATACATTTTCAATAAAGAATTATACCTAAATTATATAATTTATATAAAATTAAAAATAATTTTATATTGCACAACCAAACGAAAATTTTAGGCGAAGCGGTGCCATTTTTTTCTACCTTAGATAAAATTTGCTTTAGAGCAATATTACCGTTAATGATAGAAATAATAGCTTGTGCGCTTATTTTTCTTTTCTTTAAAACTAACATTTCTATGTCCGTACGTGACACTTTGAATCTTAATAACGGTAATTTTAAAACATCATAGTTATTTAAGGTTTCATAAACTTTAATCACCCCAGAAGAGTTTTTATTACCCTCATTTTTTGCGCTTGTCATTGATCTAGTAATTGCTAAAATTTGAAAAGTATCCGTTTGAATTTACTTCAAAAAGTCTGTATTTATTCTTGACAACGCGTCTTCCCTGTCCTTTTATACATTCTATATTAAAATCAAACTCCTCCAGATCCATACGCATTCTTGTTAATTTGGAAGATGGATCTTTCATTGAAAATAAATAAACTAAAGGTCGACGATCTGATTTAACTAAAAATTTTTGTCCATACAAAAGAGCAACTAAAGTATTTGATAGCCCAATGTATTGCTGTTAATTCTTTTAGGATGGTGGCGTTATTTATTTCATCTTTTGTAAACATTTTTGACGCATAAGCAATAGGTAAGTCCTGTGAAATTTTGTGAAACCACAGCACGACAAGAAAATTTTGATGCATCTATTGTAAGAATAAATTGCTTAGAAAAACCAGGGTATTGTACAATTTTTGGATTAATTAATGCTTTTTTAAGAAATTTAAACGCTTTCTCGCATTCAGCCTTTTTTCTTGTAAATTTATTCAAGGGTCAGTTACCGATGCGAAGTTGGGTATAAATCTACGATAGTAATTACAAAAGGCAACAAACTTTTTTACTTCATCAGCAGATTGCGGTGTTGGATAACGTTGAACGACCTCAAATTTCGAAACATCTGGTAAGATGCCTTTATCAGTATTTTATGACCCAGATAGGTGGCTTCTTTTCTAAAAAAAAAATGCATTTTGCATTTTGCGGATTTAATTTTAAATTATATTTTCGACATGTTTCAAATTTGTCACATGATGTTTTTCATAACAATCGATGACTATTAAATCATCCATATATAGAAAAGCTTTTTCAGGAGTTATTTTCGCAAAAGCAATGGACATCATTCGTTGAAAGCTATTCGGGCTTACGGATAAACCAAATGGTAGTCTGGTGAATCTATAAGATCCTGAATCTACGCTAAATGAAGTGACATTTTGCGAAGATTCATCCAGAGGAATTTGATGAAAATCTGACATTAGATCAAGTACTGAAATCCATTTAGCTCTTCCTAACTGATCTAATATGTCGTCAATACGTGGTAAAGGAAATTTGTCTGCAATTAGAGATTTATTTACCGATCTAAAATCTGTACATAATCTCCACGCTTTATTATTATCAATAGACTTTCTAGGAACCAATAATACTGGACTAATATACTCGGGTATAGATGGTTCTATAATACCGTTCTCTAACATTTTACTTACTTGTTTTTCAATTTCTTGCTTATGCACTCTAGGTGTAATTTTTAATATATGTAGGTTTATTTTCAGCTAGTTTTCAGCTTTTGTGAATATAATTTATTTACAGTTAATTTGTCAGTTTTTAGGGCGAAAACGTCTGAAAACTCATTACATAAATGTAAAACGTCATTTTTAATTAAACTTGGTATATCATCATTTAATTCGCTTAACAGTTGTTTTTGTCTAATTTGCGGTTCTGGCGAAATTTTAAAAATTTGAAATTCATCTATATTCATTGCTTCCAAAGAGTCTATAGTTAAAATTAGACTTTCACGTGTGGTGTTAATAATTTTGACTAAGGGAGTTTGTTTTGACACTAGCGTTCTAGCTACAAAACACCTGGTTTTAGTTCTTTATTGACTACAAGACAATCTTGTGATATTCCTTAAACAATTAATTTGTCTAATTACTTCGCATCTTGCGCATATGAAAAAAATTTTCTTCTGAACTATAGAAAATTGGAATGTTAATACATTTTTGGTGACAATTAATTGTTAAAGACCAATCATTATAGTCAATAATAGTTTAAGTCAATACAAATTTTTGTAAAAAGTCTCTGCCGACAATACCATCAGCAGGAATTGGAAAATCATCATTTGCTATATGAAAAATATATGGAATTTTATGTTGATTAATTTTAATTATAGTTTCTGTGGTCCCTAAAGAAGTAACTTGACCTTCCGTAACACCTTTAATTTTACTAGTAAGTGCAACGTTAATGATTTGATTTAAATTTACGGTTGTACGTTTAAAAATTGGTATATTCGCACCAGTATCAAACAAACTGTGTATTTTTACGACCTGTCATTTCAAGAAAGACGAGAACAAAGTTTGAAAGTGACAAATTTAAGTTATAAATATTTACATTTCCCCCAATCGAACCGGTTGGAGGTCCGATTGGTTTTCCGGCTCCCGAGACCTACAGAATCTGACATTATTATAATAATTACCTTGACCGCGACCTTGTCCATAATAATAGCGATTTGCGATATAATTTCCACGACCGCGTTTCTCATAATTTTCGCTTACTCGTGAAAACTTACCACGTCCACGATATGAAGAAATATTATTATTGTTTCGAAATCATCTGCCTCGCATATTTCGTGAATTATAAGGTCGTCTATTGCTTCGCACTGTGCTGTATTTTTCTCTTTTGCGAGTAATAATATATGACTGATTGAATAACAAACTAATTGTTGTGAACAGTTTAGTATACTTTATTTTTGATGCAATTATGAATTACATAACAAACATGGTGTCACTTTGACACTTACTAGCCAACCAACATCTTATTTAAAAACTGTGAAACTAGCATGCGGTCACAGAGGCATGACATTGAATGATATTTATGGCCCATTTACACGAGGCCAGTTGTGAAGACATTCCATTAAGCCAATCCAATGACAAAGTTGAGGACAATCCAATAAAAATTCAATTGAAGTTTACACGTACGCCAGTCCGTCATCCGCCAGGCTAGTATCTTTGTATAATCTATGTGGTCTAGTATATACGGTTGTGTAGAATGGATAGGCTAGGGCTAGGCTAGGCTTGGCTAGGAACGTACGTTCTCCCAAATGCCATTACACAAGCCAATCCA